AAGTACAAAAAATTAGCTGGGCATGGTGGCGCATGCCTGTAATCCCAGCTACTCGGGAGGCTGAGGCAGAAGAATCACTTGAACCTGGAAGGCAGAGGTTGTGATGAGCCGAGATCACGCCATTGCACTCCAGCCTGGGCAACAAGAGTGAAACTCTGTGTCTTAATAATAATAATAATAAACTCCCATATATGTGTGTGTATATGATATTTATGCCAAAGTTATTGATCTTCCTTCACTACAAATACTTATTCTAGTCATTACTTTATTTGAAAGTATCAGATTATACACAGAAATAAATTCCAGGTGGACTAAAATGTTTTCCAAAATAATAGGAACTTTGAACAGAACCAAGTTTCAAATTCTTAGTATTGAAACATATATGCATTTTTTTGTGATGAGGTTTTGCTCTGTTGCCTAGGCTACAGTGCAGTTGTATGATCACAGCTCACTACAGTCTTGAACTCCTGGCTTCAATCGATCCTTCCACCTTAGCCTCCTGCGCATCTGGAACTACATGTGCAAGCCACCATACCCAGCTAATTTTTGTGGGCTTTTTTCTTTCTTTTCTTTTTGTAGAGAAGGGTTTTGCCGTGTTGGTCTGGCTGATCTCAAAGTCCTGGGCTCAAGTGATCCACCCACCTCAGCTTCCCAAAGTGCTGGGATTACAGGTGTGAGCCATTGCACCCAGCCAAAGAGAAGTATTTAAATACCTAAAATATACAGACTTCTGAATAAAACAAAAAATCCAAAATAAAGGTGGCATGCTGCTGACAAGTCAGGGGCAAAAGACAATGGTTGAGAAGGCTGTTATCAGCATGAAAGGGGTTCTGGCCTTTGATGTTATATCCCAAAAAGGTATGTTCCAGTAGGTCATGTGCCACCTCCTTCTCCTTGGAGAGGAGGTGGTGAGTGGCAAGAATACATAGCCTTGGAATCCTCAGAAAGAAGGGCATTGAAGTCCACTTCCTGGCTCCATGGACACCTGAGCCTGCATTCTCACCAATGGATCAATGGCAGCCTGACATAGCAAGAACAGGCAGAATGATATTAAGCTCACTTTAAGAAGGCAGGAAAACAAACTATACTTTTTGGAAGGATTTCCCTGAAAACCCTAGGTTATTGGAATCCAGAATAACTTGTACTCTGTAACTTGTCCTGTGACACAAAGTCTTTCTAAACAAATATTCCTGTATATTGAATTGAATTATTCTCATCTTAAATGGAATATCACTGTCTTTAATGATCAGAAATTGGGGCCTGAATAGTGGGCACTGAGCAGCTGCCACTGAGTCACATGCCAGCTGCACACTCAACTAGCAAGGGTTGGCAGCTTCCCTTCACAGATTTTTTTTTTTTCTTTTTGAGACAGTCTTGCTCTTGTTGCCCAGGCTAGAGTGTAATGGCACAATCTCAGCTCACTGCCACCTCTGCCTCCTGGGTTCAAGGGATTCTCCTGCCTCAGCCTCCCGAGTAGCTGGGATTACAGGCACCCACCACCACGCCCCACTAGTTTTGTATTTTTAGTAGAAATGGGGTTTCACCATGTTGGCCAGGTGGGTTTCAAACTCTTGACCTTGTGATCTGTCCACCTCAGCCTCCCAAGGTGCTGAGATTACAGGTGTGAGCCATCGTGTCTGTGTCTGGCCTATAGAAGACTTAAGATAGCATCACAGTAGTCTCACTTTCTCTCTAAATTAACATCGAGCTGATCTCAGGTTTCTGGACTTAATGATATTATCTACCTACCTGAGTGATCTCCTCTTGGCTCCAAAGTAACACCTCTGTAATCTCAGTTCCTCTTTGACTATTACATCAGTGATCACAGCTCCATCTGAAGTAACATCTCAGTGATCATAGCTTTTCCCTAAAGTAACCTTTTTCTAAAGCATCACCCCTAGTGATCTCAACCACTTGTTGAATAATCACCTTAGTGATTTCAGCCACCTCTGATATAACACCTGTGTGATCTCAACTCCAGTGAATAACTCAGTTATTTCATCTCCTTTCTAAAGTAACACCTTAGTAATCTCATTTACTTTCTGAAGAATCACATCAGCGATCTCAGCCTCTCTTAAGTAACATCTCTGTGATCTCAGCGTCTAACACTTGAGTGATATTATCTTGGTCCTTAATAACATCTCAGTAATCTCACCTCCTCCCTTAAGTAACACCTCATTGATTTCAGCTTTTCTCTGAAGTAGAACCTGTGATCTCAGCTCCTAAGTAACACCTCAGCATTTCTTTCTGATGGTACAATATAGACGTTTCACTTCCTTTATGAAATAGCACTGTTACCTCCATTCTTCTGGAGTTTCACTTCAGTGATTTCAACTTCTCAGAAGAATTACAATGATCTAATCTCTAAAGGCATACATTAGTGATCCCATTTCAGTTATTTCAGCTACTCTGAAGTAAACCTCAGCTGTCAGAGCTACTCTACAGTAATCATTAGTGATGTCAGTTCCTTCCAGAAGTAACACCCAGTGATCTCACCTCCTTTCTGAGGAAATACCTCAGTGTACTCAGATCCTCTGAAATAAGACTAATTGTCTCATTTTCTTGCTTAAGTGACACCTCAGTGATCTCAGCTCTCCTCCAAAGTAACAAGCTCTTGTCTTCTCTGAAGTAACACCTTAGTTATTTCATCTCCTATCTGAAGCAACACCTCATGGAATCAATAACGCCTCTAAAGTTAACACCTGGGTTACTTGAGCTGTCTGAGTTTCACTTCAGTGATCTCAGTTCCTCTGATGTAACACCTCAGTAATATTAGTTTCTCTGGAATTTCACTTCAGTGGTTTCAGTTGCTCTGAAGTAAAACACCAGCAATGTCAGCGCCTTTCTCAAGTTAACAAATCAGTTACCAGTTCCTCTCTGGAGTTATACCTCACTGTTTTAAGTTTCTTTCACTAGCGTCTCTACATAGAAGGGAGAAGAAGCTTTTGTCTACATTATGGTGTTCTGCTGTGGACTTAAGAATCAATGCCTGGATGGGTGCAGCAGCTCATGCCTGCAATCTTAAACCCTTTAGGAAGCTGTGGGAGGAATGCTTCAGCCCAGGAGTTTGAGGCAGCAGTAAGCCATGATGGCACAACTGCACTCCAGCCTGGTGACAGAGCAAGACCATCTTTAAAACAACAAAAGGATCAATGTCCTACTGCTTATTTCCTTCCCATCAAGCTGACAGATGTTGGGGGTGGGGGTCAGGGGTGAAGACAGCCCTTCTCTATCTCAGGCACTCAACACATTGAGGAGACTCTGAAGTGGCTTCAATCTCATACATTTGTTTCCTTTGTAGCTAGTTGCTACCAGAAATGGTTCTGACACAAATTGTTGTTGTTTTTTTTTTTTTTTTTAGACGGAGTTTCACTCATGTTACCCAGGCTGGAGTGCAATGGCGCGATCTCGGCTCACCACAACCTCCGCCTCCTGG